TTGCAGAAAGTTCCTTGAATCGATTGGTTATTGCAATAACTGCAATAATCTGGTGCCCCCAAACCATCGCAGAATAAACCCTTTCAGTAAATATTAGAAGGAACGCAACAGTAGTGACTTGACACCGGATAACTAAACTACACACGCTCTTTTCGTTAACTTCGCCCACGATTCAACTTCTTTGGATTTATAACAATTTCACTTGTAAAGTCACGTGGATATTCTGAAGATATTTTGACCAATGGTTTTAGAGTAGTAAAAAATTGCATTGCGCGTATTCCCAGCGCCAGCAGGAAGAAATGAGATTAAAAAATGCATTGATTGAGCTTTCAGTTGAAAGCGGGATCATCGGAAGGAAATCAAAACGATAGTTGGATCAATGATTCCTCATCCATGCAATTGCACTGAAAGTTCGAATGATGGGTGATTCAACTCCCTTAAATCTTCTGTTATATTGTTGAAGAAGCCATCTACAACACGCGCGAACCACCCTATCATATGATTCTTGTTTGCATTCTTTCATCATCAGTGGTGTTGATGGGGAAGCAAAATCATTATTTCAAAAAGTGGAGTGGGAAGAAATATTCTCTACTAAATGCCAAAAATCGAAACATCAGTTATTCAGCTCATGAAAAATGCACAGTAACGAATTTATTCTCATTTCGAAACGTCATTTTCTTCCTGCCGGTACCTCATATTCAACTCAAGAACATCGTGATTTGAATTATGTAAACTTTACATATTGTGCTATGCACATGCTCTGGGAAAAAGATGATTCCGCATTATTAGATTTATCGGAACTGGAAGACTGGTACGAATTTAACATATGGAGCAAGATTACATTATTTAGAAATCGATCTAGTTCGTGGGGAAGAAGGTACGAGTATGACTTCCAGTAATCGAAAGAACGATATGTGAAATTCTATGGACTGGAAAAAGATTGGAAGGAGGGAGATGGCATTTTTCGATCAAGTTGAAACTTGTGGGAATTTGGGACTATCGAAGAAGCATGGACAGAAATATTTGACCGATAGCCTGTAGTTGAGTAAAATGTTAACACCTATCAGCTGAATGTGATGACAACGAGGAGGTTATGAGGCAACTGCGAACCGTTGAAATGTTTCATAGCGTTAATCGGTTTCTTCTCCTCACCATGGACATTCCAACAGGGTACGTCTACCACTCTATGCGTCGCAAGTTTTACCAAGTTGGCTGCTGTGTAAATAAACTGGTGTTTAAAGAAATTTTGAGCGAAGGCCATTTTCGGGCTCTCCTCCTTTACATAAGAAAATGTGGTTGACATTTCGTTGCAACAAACTCTGATATCTGCTACGTTAGACATCACGTTGTTCGACTCCCCAATAACAATCACTTTACCACCCACACCATTTATTAACGTAAACGTTGGTGTGTAAATTAAGAATTTTCATTATGTATAAATCATTTTCAATAAATCAGACGTGTATGAGTTGGCATACATTCTTTACAAGAGTTATTTATTATTCTGACATGCATTTAAAGTCTGTGTGTGTTGTTTTTGTTATTATTCGTTAATAGAAGAGTTATTATGCCTCCATAAAAAAACGACACACTAAATTAGACAAAACATATAATGCATATATAGTAACGATGACTTGTACTCTAGAATGACTTGTATATGAGTACATGCGTAAACATAAAAAAAGTTTTGAACGTTATCATAAAGCATTTACTATTCTCTTTGCACACATTTTCTTTGATTTCATGTGGTATACTAAAATCGAAAATATCAAAGAAATTAATAAAAAAAATAATATTAAATGTAATTTCACTTTTGTCTAGAACATACAAATGGTCTCAATATTCAAAAATACACTTTGATCAATATAAACTATCAATGCGATTATATTCAGAAATAAAAAGTACAGTATCATTAGCGTTAGGCATTGAAGTAAAGCTAAACTTCATTTGAATGAATTTATTGTTATTTGCAAGCTTAATTTTGGCGACGCCATCTCTTCTTCATTAAGTTTGTATACTTCCTGCCTTCTCGTTTAAGACACTCTTCAATTTCTTTATCTGTTTTAGGATATTCTAGATCTGAAATGCTGAGTATTAGGTTTCCATTCCTCATCGATCTCGTCAAAATAATTGATAGAGTCTATAAAAGCGGTGAATTCCAACATTTTTCAATGATAAATTTGCACCATCCGGAAAATCTTAGGTCGTCTTCCTTTATACATGTAGTTACATACATGGTTCACCCGTTACAATTTGTACACAAACATCCCAAAACTGTAAATATTTGCTGCTTTATTGAATCTCTTAACTAAGAACGATTTTTTTGATATTTTCTTTATAATGTTTTCGAAAGAACATAACACTCGATCTCGAAATAAAAGAAAACAGAATCATTAGGTCAAAATATATCAAAAGAATCACATACTAATCATCTAAAACGTGAACTAAAAAAAAATATATAAAAAACAAAGCAACAATCAGAAGCAGTTCTTACGATTGAAAGTGAAGAATTTACAGGTGATACATTGACTCAAGTATCTAATGATCTTGTGACTCTGCTTCTCTCACCACTTTATTCCCCTTCTTTATCCATTCAACATGAGTCTCAACCAATCGGCCCGGCAGACCTGCCCGAATCTCATTGCCGTCAACCTCGACTTGAGATTTTTTCATTAGCCGTATCACTATTCCCAATCATTTATTATTATTGCCTAAGAATATTTTTCATTGATTTCTCAGCAGCAAAAACTTTTTTTGAGACGTCGGCGATCTTGGTCTTCAAATAATGGTACAAATGAATATCCAATAACGTTCAAGATTAATTTCACGCATTTTTTTAGACTGTCAATATCATTATTTTCGCTAGACCATTTAGTTTTAAAGTCGTTTGTGAAATTCAATGCATACACGGCAATACTCATTTCCTTGACCACGAAAACAAATTAGATTATAGAACTTGTGTTTGTTGTTATCGTTATAAATACCCATAAGTAGATTTTTATACACTAAAAATCTTGTCGCTATCGTTATCGATATTAATAAGCGTAGCGATAGCGATACGTAGTACATACACGTATTGCCGCAGTTGTATGTGTAAAGAATTTATTATACTCATTACGCACATTAAAAACAATAAAATAATCATATCGATGTATTAAAACTCTTTTGCAAATATCTCTACATCCAGTGGACCAAATCGGATGATTTTGATATCATTAGATTCACATAAACAAGGCGAACCTGATTATAACAAAATCATCTAATTTGTAAGTCAAAAAATTTGGGATGAAATATTTATCTTGAACGTTAATTTGACCATCACTATCACAAATTGCTGTACCGTTACGTAAACGTGTACGTATAATTTATGCACCTCGTTTACTAATTTTCGTAATATCGATACCGATATGTATGTTCATGCATACATGCGCAAATACATGTACGTACGTAGTTTTGGTTTTAGCGTTAGCGTTAGTAAATTTTAGTAATACCGAACCGATGTAACCAGAAAGTGCTGGAAAGTTGGTAATCGAATGACGTTGATCTCCGGAAAATCTATAAAATACTCGCGAGAAAAGTCGGTCTTGAGTAGTTTTAAAAACCAAATAACACATAATATTCTTGAGATTTAGTTTAATCTGTCAACCCAGCCTGCTTAAATAATACAATTTTCTACATTCAAAAACTCATTCGACGATAATAAATTTACATTAAATTTTATTCTACAGCAAAAAAAAAATGTTTGCATTCATCCCAATCGAATCCAACCACGACGACCTTGTTTTTCAGATCCCATTCAACAACAGTGAAAACTATTACCACTGTCCAACAACTAGCATGCATTGTCACCCGCACGCTTACTTTAATCGTGTTCCAACGCATCGACATGAATCTTATGCAAATAACCTAGAAAATATAATTTCGGAATTAAAGCATCTCGAACGAAAAAGAGCTGAAGAGAAAACGCTCTATGAAAAACGCCAACGTATTTATGCTGAGCGTGAAAAAGAGATACGTCAACGCGCATATCGACAATGGATTCTTGATCAACAAGTAAAACAAGAAGCATTGAAACACATTTTTGAGTTGAGAGCAGCTACTGCGGCATCAAATGAGGATCCAAATGTTTATAATCATTCGTGCTCTCATTCTTGCCGAAAACAACAGTCAAGGAAACAAATAATTTCGAAACAAGAAGCAGCGAAAAGAATTATTTTATTTATTCGTCGTCGCATAGAAAATCAAACCACCCTTCTTATAATTAATAAACTAAGACAACTTCGATCCATTGAGCAGCATTTGTTTTCACTTTTCCCGAAATCCGGATTCAATCCACATTTAACGTTCGTGACCGAGAATGCAAAACAAATATTACCAATCACCGCAAATAATCGTGCGTTCCTCCTCAAGGAAGAATCTATTCTCAAAACCTTAGATTCGTTGGATCGTATTGAAAGTAACGGAATCGAGAGTATTCGTGAAAGAAGAAAACAAATTGTTAGAGTTGCACAGAGAATGTTGGAAGTGTTGGACAATATCAAGAATAAACAATGGAAAGAATTTGGTGAAAATGAAGATAAACAAGAAGGATCGGAAAAGGTGGAAACTAATAATACCGAAAGAGAAGATAATAAGCCAGAAGTTATACGGATAAACAATAATGATGACTCTGAAAAATCAACTTCTCAAGAACATGAAGGAAAATTTAATTTGGATGAAATCGTAGAATCAAATATCGAAATAATTACACCTTTTATCATATCTGATTCTATTGACAAAAATTCAAATAGTGAATTGGACGAAAACAATATTTTAAATAAATCTACATCAGTTTCTTCCAAAAACACCGAAACCACATCCAATGTAATCGATAATGTTGATGATAGTACAGCAATATCAAATAAAGATAGCCAGGAAACAACTATCGCCGAAAACGAAGACGCCATCTCTTCGGGATCCGTTGCAGCAAAAGAAATTGTTAATTTAGTCAATAAAAATAATATTGAATTAGAAAACTCTGAGGAATTTATAGTAGTGTGATATATTCAATTTCAATTGATTCTATAATTGTATGAATTATTATCATAATAATAGAACATTTTTTTTTCTTGCATATAAATAAAATAACAATACAAACATTTACATATATTCGAAATAAAAATGTGGATTTGAAGTAAGTTATTAATAAGTGAAATAGCATGGCTTATAGAATAATGATATAGGATATCACGTGGGTTGTTCGAATTATAATTTTCCTGTATGTTGATTTCAGGTGGCTATCTTCTCATTTTTGCGGGTCAGGGAGTCGATTTCTGAGATCGAGATTATCTGATTTTTAAATTTTTAAAATGTCTCGGTATATACGCGAAGAACATATCCACTTACCCTGAATTTTTAGAGTATTCTTTGCTTCATGTTTCTTACCTGTTACATTTTTTGAGCGAATAACGGTAGTGCTCTATCTCTTTTTTCTTCAATTAGAGCTTCTATCGCGTAAAATCGACCATAATGTCAATTTTTAGCATAATACTAAATGCAAATATTTGTTAGGTTTGTATAAAAACATCACTGCAAAAAAGTGACATATTTTAGATAGTCATAGACATAGACAAAAAAAGCGATATACGTAATCATATTGTTTGCATGATAATTTAAGATATAATGTTACAATTTTCTTAATTTACATGAAATCCAAAAATATTAGAAAAACAATAATCGCCTAAAAATAGATATAGTAAAAATAGCTCATTATTTTATCCATTATTTTATTCTTTATCCATTATTTTAACCATTATTTTTATTCTTTATCTAATATTTTATCTAATTTTATCCTTCATTTTATTCTTTTCTATTTTTAGTATTTTACTTTATCTTTTTGATTATTTTACCTTTAGATATTGTTATTTCAAAATTTATATTTGCCAAAATGTATAAATGAATAGTTTCTAATTCTGTATTAATAAGTTGAAAATGAATAAAGTATTTTATAGTACACTTTGACTTTGATAGTTGCTTCTGAGCAATTCATAATGATTATTTTGTTATTTTGTTATTTATTGTTTTTTTGTATTGATTTTGTATTAGTTTATTATGTTTTACCTTTGTTATAACTTAGTTTTATGATTAGAATATTATTGAAAGAACTAGAAAATGGCAATATGATTTTTTCTTTTATAATTTCTCTTTTGACTTCTATTTATTCAAATTTTCTTTTTATAATTTCTTTATTTCTTTTATACACTTTAT